GGGGGGAGAGGAGGGGGCCTCTCTGTCACGTTACACCAGTATCTAGGCCCCTGAAAATGATGGCTTCAAGCTATGTGACACTACTGACCTTCATACCTCTGAAGCAGATATATATGTGTAGCTCTCAAAGATGGTCTGTAACTCATCCACAACATTAACGCGTATATAGGGCCTTTATGTTTAATAGGTAGACAGAAAAGTGTCATTTTAGACACATTTTAAATGGTTAATTTGTCTGACCGTTCGGCCTAAATTACCCCCATCTCACGTTACACCTTGGTGGGTGCATTATGCCCCCCTCCCTTCCATTCACCCCAGCCCTTTATACCGTCATAGAAAAGGCAGAGACCTTCTGGAGTAATGCAAAATTTTCCAACTCGTTTTAATTATTGGAGTGGGGACAACGTATTTATAAATATAAGGTAACAAATTTCATAGGGGTTAAAGAGCAGAAAAAAAAGTAATCCGCAAATCACTTACATAGCACCTTGCTATTTATAAAAACGTGTTGACAACGCCAAATATTCGTTTTAATTACTGGAGTAGGGAAAACGTATTGAGACATATAACGTCATTGTCTCATCGGAATTAAAGGGATAATAACTCTTCGTATGAGATCTATATTTCACAATAAAAACATTGTGAACAACTCATAGAAATATAATAAAATCTGTTTTACCACAAAACGGCAGTTATAGCTATTATTCTGATATCTGAGCTTGTCTTTAGACCACGTGACCTCCATTGATGGCTATACTCTGTTAAAATCTCTTAAGAGATTTTAACAAAAAAAACAAACCTTTTAGAAAAAAACCAGGGACTAACTTTGAATGTAAAAATGGATTCATTAACCATTGGTAAGTATGGGAAAATTGTTGTTTACTCCAGGAAAATTCATTTTTTGGCCGAAACGAAGAGTTATTATCCAATTAAGGAACAGTAAAAAGAAATGCAATCCGCAAACCACATAGCACCTTACTGTTTATAAAAACGTGCTGACAACGCCACAATTATAAAAATGTTTAGTATGAAAAAAGCTAGTGAATAGGGCAACAAAACAGTTCGGCTCAATTTCATCAAAACTAGATAGCGCTATTCTACGGATTATGCTTTTCTTTGGAAAAAATAGTTATCCCTTGAATAAAGTTATGTTTCTCAATCGCTAGATACTTATCAATGTGTCTCCACCATTGTTATGCTATAGTTAAAAATGACCGCAGTCCTGAGGGGAACTGTCCACTGAATAACTATTGATGAAACTGGACCCTAATCAATTTTTTCAATACACGGTAATTATTTTTGTTGATTAATACAAATTCGCAAGTATTTATACTCTTTTAATCCGTACTGATCACGCGTTTGTTTTTCTTTCTATTGTCTATGGCGATAAAATAAGTAAATAAAATAAAATAAGTAATTTGATTAACGGATTCAATGTCGTGTGAGTAAGGCAGAGAACAGGAAGACAACGTTCAATTTACTTTTATTTTTTCTCGTTTAGTAAGCCATGTAGGCCTAGCTATCACCAGTCTTTCTCCGTGTAGAAAAGTTTCCAATAGAATGAAGTCTGTCGCTTGATGATTTCTATTTGATCACCACCTAGCTGGTGTCTCTGACAGCTTTGGAATTTATATGGATATCATGGTACCTTTTGATCTTTGAAGGATTTTCTATTGACGTAATATTCTCCACTTTGTGGAGGATGGAATGTGTAAAGCGCATCCGAAGGAACTCCAGCATCCGGCGCGCCTCCCACAGAGGATTGTCGCAAAAGTCCTCGTGCTTTGTAAAGTACCAAAATTTTGTCTGATTACCGTACAGTTTATACAGTATGACAATTATCTGGAATTGTTCTTTGCGTTGGGCGAGGTATCTCATGATCGACTTTGTATGGCAGTAACGCGCCCTCCAATCAGACCTGCGAGCACAATCGCTGGCAATCAGAGCAGCCGGATGGCGGATTTTTACGACAACCAACAAAGAGAACCTTTTCTGCAGACTGTGGGAAAATTTCAAAGCTATCGGATCTTTAAGTATCAAACGGTTGTCCGTTCCGTTTCTGCATCTTGGGAACATTTCTGAGTAAAATCTCTGCCATCCTTTGATGTCCACTACCAAGTTGACATCAGCGTTTTTATAAACTTTTGGCTTTGCTGTAATATTACCGCAGTTGACCAGACGCTCAATGGGGTTCATGGGCTCGTGGAGGTATTTCGTGTTTTCAGAGTAGCTGGCAATCTTCCCAGCTATCGTTGTCCCACTGCGCGGTGGACCTGTGATTAAAACATCGGACCGACTGAACATGTCCGCATTGTCAGCGTCGGCGTCAGTCTTGCACCGACGATCTTTTTGCAATCCAGACGGGTAGACGTGTTCGTTACAAGTCCTCTCAGCGCCTCTGTTGGCCGCCTCGTTAAGATTTTCGTTCCTGATGAAGAGTGTCATAAAGGGAAAGACGAAGCACATGTTAACAAGGTAGAACGTTGTTGTGAATCTAGTCATCCAAAGACGCATGGTTACTTCTATATCAGCTGTCCAACTTGTGATACGTATACTGGTGACATGTACACGCATGCGCATAATAAATTGTATTCGTTTCCGCCACTGAACACGATGTTTAGTTGTTCAATAAATGCATGAGAATATAACCTCATTTTGTGGCAGTCGGGTCAAGGACTGCGTCTCATCATCTCCACATCTGTTTGCTGAATGTGATGTGAACCTGTTGGAGAACTGTTTCGACGTTTATGGTGTCTTAGTTCGCAAATTATTGTGAAACATGGCAAAGATTTTTCTCGTAAATAAGAGAACAGTTTCATTAGCTCTGTATGTATCAATATAAATTATTGTTTTCCTTTTTATCAAGAGCTTATAAAATATGCGGGTATATCCTCCAATATTTCTGTGACTGTCAGTCACCATCACCAGGTAGTATTTTCTCTCCCAGAACAATGTCATTCACCATCGTGCTCAGTTCTATTAGTAGGGGAGCCAAGGCAAAAAATTAGGGTGAAAAAAAAATTTAATGATATAAAATTTTCGAACACATGGGCGGAGAGCCTGATATCTGGGGTTTATAAATCTGCTTATTGGACAAATGGGCTCAATTGCGAAAGTGCCCAAAAATCCAAGATGGCCGCCACCCCTAAGGAATATGCAATAAATGGATAAATTATGAAAAATGGTTGATATTTTCAGTTTGTTTCAGTGTAGACATTTTTATTGTCCATATATTGTGGACATATGTCATATCTGGTGATCTGTAGCAGAAATTGGTCAATTGGATTCAAAATGGCCGCTCTATCCAAGATGGCGGCCAATATTTCAACTTTTTTTGCAATTAAATCCTCTTTTCATTGATCTAGAATTTCCTATAATCATGATATGAGCAAACATTTATCAAATAAAGATTGCCTATGCTATTTCCTGCATTTGTACCATCTATGTTTAATAAAGAGGCTTTGTGAATACAAAAAAAATCCAATATGGCCGCCACATACCCCTTGCCATTATGAGTCAAGGGTACCATCTGTCTTTTA